GATGCCAGCCACAGAGACTGGTGAAACGTTAGGAAGAACAACCTTCAGAACACGGCCAAAGAGCCTGAAAAACCCACAACAACCATTAGATCCCAGCCGTGAAAGCCTTCGCGAATATATTGCAATAGTTTATTGTGGTCTACACAGTCAAAGGCTTTTGCATAGTCAATGAAGCAGAAGTAGATATTTTTCTGGAACTCCCTGGCTTTCTTCATGATCCAGCACATGTTAGTAATTTGGTCTCTAGTACCTCTGCCCCTTCAAAATCCAGCTTGTATTTCTGGGAGTTCTCAGTCCACATACTGCTGAAGCCTACCTTGTAGGATTTTGAGCATAACCTTGCTAGCGTGGGAAATGAGTGCAATTGTACGGTAGTTGGAGCATTCTTTGGCACTGCCTTTCTTTGGGATTGGGATATAGACTGATCTTTTCCAATCCTCTGGCCACTGCTGAGTTTTCCAAACTTGCTGGCATATTGACTGTAGCTCCTCTTTTAAGAGTTTAAATAGTTTAACTGGAATGCCATCACCACCACTGGCCTTGTTTGTTAGCCATGCTTTCTAAGGCCCACTTGACTTCAATCTCCAGGATGTCTGGCTCAAGGTCAGCAACCACAGTACCTGGGTTGTATGGCTAGCTGAGCAAAATCCAATATACAACATTCCTTCAATTTATGAAAAGTTTTTCATAAACAATTCAGAATTTATGGTAAGAAGAATTGTCTAAGTGTAAATTATAAGAAACTTAAAATTATTATCTTTAATAGAAAATCCCACCCTCAGAAATGTACAATGGATGGGAGGAAATTAGAACAAGCACAGTAGGACCCCCTTATCCACAGGATCAGTATCACCTGATTCACTTAACCATGGTCATAAAATATGAAAAACATTAAAAGAAAAAATCCAAAAAAACTATTTTCACATGCCTTACCAGAAGTGACCTCTAGAGGGAGGGAGAAACCATGCTATTTATACTTGTTAGTGATGAGTACATAGCATGGTCTCCCCCACCCTCTAGTATCCACTTCTGGTAATGCATGTGAAAAATATTTAGGTTTTTTTTCCTTTTAACCATGCTATATATATAGTGCTCAATATTATCCATGGTTTTCAGTATCCATTGGGGGGGCTTGGAACCAATCTCCAGCAGATATGGGGGTCCTACTATATTTAGGAGTGATGTTCCCCCAATCAGGCTCTTGGATATCTTAGACTGATCATTGGGGGGCCTTGGAACCATTCTCCAGCAGATATGGGGGTCCTAGTATATTTAGGAGTGATGTTCCACCAATCAGGCTCTTGGATATCTTAGACTGAGTTTGCTAAGCAGAAATTTGAAAAGACCATTTTTTACATAGATCATGCAGAACTAGAGCAGGATGTTTGGCTCCTCCCATATGTAAAATTTCCAACAAAAAAATTACTCTTTCAGATACTGTATGGAGCTGAAATTTGAGAACTTGGGAATTTACATCCATTAGACGTCATCCAAAATAAGTTTGTCTAGCTACTAATAGCAGTTCCCTGCCCCCTCCTCACCTCTACAGCTTTAGTCAGACAGTAACTGGCATTAATACCAGTAATAGGCTTAACTTATAGAGAAGTCATTGACTATTGGTTGAAAATGCTCTTCTGTGCCCCTTCAGACTTTTTAACATTATCATACAGGGAGATGGAAACTTGGATAATGGAAAACTTTTGTATTGAATCTTGTTGCTAAATTTGGTTTTTCAGAACAATATGTGAGGCATCTCAGTTTCTCTACAGCAAAACTCACACTAAAGTAAAGTCTAGTAGATCTCTGTGTTCAAACAAATTTAGGCTTGTTAAGAACCTCAAGAATTGCACCACTTACAAAAAGAGCTCTTTCACCTTATTTAGCTGATCTCATGAGCTCTGATCACAGAAAAGCCCTCATTAAGGCCTGCCTAGATATGCTGCCACTGGCTGTCTTAAAAGGCCAGGATGAAGGAATGCCATACAATGAAAGAGTCTGGTCCTGTGATCAAAAACCAATTGAGAATTTGGTACATGCCATTCTTTAATGTCCCTTATTCACAAGAGAACATGTAAGGCCACCAAGGTCTTCTTTGGAATTCTCAAAAGATCTGACTGGAACAAACTTAAGGTTGTTACTAAAATAAGGACAAGTTTGTCACATTTCAAATGGTAAGGTTTATTTCTATTCTTATTGAAACAAAGTCTGCATCCTCTGTAGCTAACAAAGCTGATAGTTATATTATTGCTACTCAGGTTCCTTTGTCACTGATTTACTATGTTATAGTTAAATTTAATGACTGCATTAATGTTTATGTTTAGATATGTTTGAGGCATTTTAGATTTTAGAATTTTAAACCTGAACAAAAGTTTGACTCAAACTCTCTAAGACTACATTGTATTGTGCTGTGGTTTTTTTATTATGTAATTTGCAAAGGCCTGTGTGCCAAACAAATAAATTGAATTTGTTTGATTGATTGTTTCTTTTACTATTTCCTACTAGGTTTTCCCTCTCTGATTCTGGCTGTTGTTGTCCAAGAATGTAAATTTCCCAGACTCTGCTCTCTTGTCTGCAAAAGTAGATTCTATAGATGGGTAAGTGAAAACCAACCCTGTACCTATGCATTCTATTAGAGCATCATCATCCTGGAGCCTAAAACATATCATAGAATGGATTTCCTTTATAGACAGTTGTGGAAGCCCACTACCCAAGGAAGCAACATGAAGATCTGAGGACCCTTGAGTCGCCCCAGGTGCTTTGATTTTCTTTATTTTGGTTCCTCTCCTCCTGTTTTCAGGGAAAGCCATTTTCTGACCAGTTACTGTGAAATAGGGAAGAAGGCCATAAAATAAAGGCCTCCACCATCTTGGAAGTCCTGAACCATGGCAATAGGTGAAGTTGGTTTTTCAGCCTTACTGAAAACATCAGATGAATGTTCTCCTGTAGCCTTTAAGAAAAAACATTCTTCTATACAACATACAATTTACAGTTGTCATTATTTGAGATTGCAAGTTGTGCATATTGGCCCAATAAGAAAATGGATGGATGGTGGTCTTACGAGATTGTGTCACATGAGCTAGTTTTATGTTCTGAAAAGCATTATAGTTCCTCACAGTTTTAGTGAGATTCTTCAGTTAACAGATAAGCAATGGCATGTAGATTATCCACTAATTTTCAGCATTTCTTGCATCCTGGAACCAAAAGGGAATGTTAGATATATTCTGGATGTTGCTGCAAACTGATTTCTAAACTGTAGCCATGTGAATTCATTGCAGCAAAAACAACAAATGTGTTAATAAAAGTGTTCACGTGAAGGACTTCCAAGTGTTGCATAAACTTTTGTGGAATGTTACTTTTTTTTAAATAGTGTTTTTATTTGATACATACAAACATACAGAACCAGAAACTAAAACCATACAGAAATAACACTAAATAACAACAAAATATCAAAGTAGAGATGGGGACAAATATAAAAATGGATGGGCTTTTTCAACAAAAATAGCCAATTCATTAAATATTCATCCCTTCATATTCATGGGTTCCAGAGACCCCAACAAATATGAAGGGATGAATATTTAACTGTTTTTATTCGTCCTTCATATTAAAAAAAAATCTGCCTATCAAGTGATTGGCGGCCAATAGGCAGCCACCCACCCCACAGCCTAACCCACCCTCTTCTCCCTACCTTAGCCCCTCATCCACACCGACACCCCCTTACCATAATCGCTACCACCGCGTTCTCCATCTGACCTCATAGCCACAGTGTATAAAAAGGGAGACTGGCTACCCTTTGCAATGATGGCAGCTGTGGCTTCATTTAGGGTAGGAAAGCTGCAGCTGGCAACTTTGCAAAGGGCAGGCAGGATTCCCTTAAGGCAGGCTAAGGGAATCCAGGCTGCCATTTTTAAAGATAGCAGCTGCAGCTTCCCTACCCTAAATGAAGCCGCAGCTGCCATCTTTGCAAAGGGCAGCCAGTCTCCCTTTTTACACACTGTGGCTATGAGGCCAGATGGAGACCTCGGTGGCAACAAGTACAGTAAGGGGGTGTCGGTGGGTTGGGGAGGTTAACGTAGGGAGAGGAAGGGGGTGGCGGAGTAGACTGTGGGGGTGGGTGACTGCCTATTGGCTGTTGATCAGTGGCCAGTAGGCAGAATGTATTTTTTTTAATAGGAAGGGTGTGTTGGCAGGTGTGAGGTGGAGGGGGGCGGCAGCAGTATGGCAGTGAAGGGGTGGCAGAGAGGGGTGGTGGTGGCAGCAGAGGGCAGGGGTGTTTGTTTTTAATAACCCCCCACCATATCAATGAATAACTTCATTATTCATCGCTTCATGATGGGGGCAACTTTGTGCTTCATGAGTCGTCAGCTTTTGACAACTCACAAAGTGGGACAAATTGCCAAAATGGTGAGTCATCCCCATCTCTAATCAAAACTAAACATCCATACTACACATATAGATCAGAAATGTCACCATCATCTAGACATCCAAATATCATCAAAGGATTCTAGTGAGCACTGATTCACCATAAACTATTTCTTCCTCTGAGTTCCTGGTCTTTTCTGGGCCCAGTTATATATCAGCTTCCAGCTTCCCTTTACAAAGTCTCTTGGTTGATTCCATAGTGCCTCTGAAAGCATGTTTAATTCTGCAGTATCCAGTAGTTTCTTTAATAGCTCATCCATTGTTGGTGTTTCTCCATTCTTCTTTTCTTGGGCCCAGAGTAACCTAGCTTCAGTAAATATATACAATAAATATATACAATAGACTATATTTTATTTTCTTATCAATAATTTCTGGCATTATATCCAATAATAACATAATGTTGCTCTTTGATGAACAAACAAATGTGGAAATGGTTTCCTTGAGGTAGAAATGTTTGAAAATCATTGATTTAGAATGTAGGCCAGAACACCTCTTTTTGAAAATTATTTGTAATAGGTTCATGACTTTTTGCATTAACTCTTTCCATCAGGGTTCAAGACACACAAAAGTTTAAAGAAACAAGATACCCTGAATGATATTTCAATTTACTATGTTACTCTGAGTGTTTTGCTTGAATAAATCTGAAATTCTGACAGTTTCATTTCATGGCATTGCAAAACTGGGCTCTCGGGAGGCTATAAAGGTAAGGCTGAGCAATTTTGTTCTGTTTTAAGGTCAAAACACCCACCTGCTCCCAGAAGGCAATGGAATAACAAACATAACCACTGGTTTCAATGTTCTGTACAAATTGAATCAACAGAGGAATGTTTTAAACAAGTAGGGAATATTTATCACATTAGGTTACACTTGTTTTAGTAGAAAAAGCAAGGAGCACTGTGCACTGTTTTGTTTTCTGTTTCTGCACTGATGATCCGCACTAGTAATGAGGGAGACAGTTTTCGTTTAGGCTTACTTTTTTTTCATTTCTGGAGTTGCATGTGAATTCTGTACGCTTGCAGCAGAGCAGGTGCAAAGTCCTAGGGGCTTGGATTTCAGGTGTATAGTGATGCCAGAGAGAAAGTAGATTAAATTAGAGATTGAAAAGTTGTTTTGTTTTGTTTTTAATTACAAATCCCAAAATATTCTAGCCAGCAAAGCCATTGGTCATGCTGCCTGGAGCATTCAAGAAGATGCAGCCCAAACAAGCAATTCCCGCCATTTCTTGGCACAATATATAGAAAAACAGAAGAAGCCCCTCTTCCTCTTTCCTTTGTCCATCATCAGCAGCAGCAAAGGAATATGCCTAGCACACCTCACAAGACAAAGAATGACAAACTAAGAACACATATCAATGCAACATGATCTTAATTGTTGTTATGGTCTTTTAAGTTTTTTCTGACTTAAAACAGTTCTAATTGGGTTTTCGAATATGGGAGATTTAAGGATTGCCACCGCTGCAGTGGGCTTCCTTGGCCAAGCAGGAATTTGAACCCAAGTCTTCTAAGTCCTAGTCCATTCACACTGGGTCTTTCCAATAATGAAACAAATGGTGTCTTTCATATTTTCTCCCTATTCAGGTTAACCTGAAAATCCTATTCCCTATACTTGAGGAAACAAATTTCGATCCATGAAAATTCACATTGAAATTAATACTAATCCTTCGTGTGCCACAATATGTTGTCGTTTCCCGCTCCCTCTTGTTCCAGTTTGACATTAGAGTTTAAAGAGAACTCCCAAGTGTCTCACTTGAGTAGCAAAGACTGTGATTAGATTACCTGTGTGCCTGCCGATTCTGCTGTCCAGTTCTTCACTAAAGTTGGATGGGAACTTTAGGGTCCCTTGTTTCCCTTTTTATGGTTATTTTTCAATCAGGCTAAGTTAAGATCCATTCAAATAGAGGACACCTTTAAAAAGAACAGATGATTGCCTCTGTGAAAAAAGACACGTGGTCAACTTATTCCTAGCAGAAGCAGTCTTAGCCCTTATCTCAATGGTATCCTTGTGAGCAACCATTTACTTCTTTATATAGAAAACAAATATAATTGCAAACTAGAAGTATAGATTAAATTAAATGTGGTGTAGTGGGTAGAGTGACAGACTAGGACTCAGAAGGCCTGGGTTTGAATCCCTGTTCAGTCAAACAAACTCACTGGGGGTGTGGAACAGATAAAAACACTCCTTAAATATCTCAGCCACAATGAAAATCGTAGTAGGGTCACTATAAGTCAGTTCCAACAGCACACAACAAAGCAACAGAAGTACAGATTAGTGTGCATTTGAAACCCATGCTTGTAATTTCAGTTGCAAATAATATGCTCTGAATTGAGACCACAAGCTAGAAGAGAAGGTTGAATAATTTCACCAGAGCACAGCATGCTACTCCATTCCTCTGAAGATGCCGGCCACAGAGGCTGGAGAAACGTTAGGAAGAACAACCTTCAGAACACGGCCAAAGAACCCAAAAAAACCCCACAACAACCATTGAATCATTTCCTTGCCCACATTTCTGCACTGAAGATCAGACACCCCTCAACAATTGTTGCTCTGAACACCAACACCACCCTCGCCCCCCTGTAACCATTCTTGATACTCTGTGTCTACTGTTTGGTAAACATGGGTGTGATTCACTATCATCTCAACTACTGTAGAATTCTTCTAAAGTGTTTGGGGAGAAAAAAAACCTTGACTATAAGAATGGAACAGGTATGTTTGCTCCTGTGTATCCTTGTCATAATTACTCACTAAAATAGAGATACACAAGTATGAATCCAAAATGAGGTTTGAGTAATACCTTTATTGGACTGCTAAAAATATTTTAAAGAAGCTCAGCTGTTGTGGCCTCAAGATTCTTTATCATACTGGGCACTGCACAGCTTGAACTGAAGAGAGAAACAGAAAAATCTCCAAAATCATTGTGGCTAGATATTGAAGCTGTGTTATCTGAGAGCAGAAATAAGCAGAATTAACATTAATTATCAAACTCACTGGGGGTGTGGAACAGATAAAAACACTCCTTAAATATCTCACTTAGCATGAAAATCGTAGTAGGGTCACTATAAGTCAGTTCCAACAGCACACAACAAAGCAACAGAAGTACAGATTAGTGTGCATTTGAAACCCATGCTTGTAATTTCATTTGCAAATAATATGCTCTGAATGCTCTTCCAGATTACTATTTCCCTTTTAGGATTGTATTTTAATAATGGATCCTGAATCATTTCCTTGCCCACATTTCTGCACTGAAGATCAGACACCCCTCAACAATTGTTGCTCTGAACACCAACACCACCCTCGCCCCCCTGTAACCATTCTTGATACTCTGTGTCTACTGTTTGGTAAACATGGGTGTGATTCACTATCATCTCAACTACTGTAGAATTCTTCTAAAGTGTTTGGGGAGAAAAAAAACCTTGACTATAAGAATGGAACAGGTATGTTTGCTCCTGTGTATCCTTGTCATAATTACTCACTAAAATAGAGATACACAAGTATGAATCCAAAATGAGGTTTGAGTAATACCTTTATTGGACTGCTAAAAATATTTTAAAGAAGCTCAGCTGTTGTGGCCTCAAGATTCTTTATCATACTGGGCACTGCACAGCTTGAACTGAAGAGAGAAACAGAAAAATCTCCAAAATCATTGTGGCTAGATATTGAAGCTGTGTTATCTGAGAGCAGAAATAAGCAGAATTAACATTAATTATCAGTTTATCTAATGTGCGGATTTCCATGTTTCTTGGTGTCTCTGATCCTGGCCAACACAAAAATTATATATATCCACAAAAGGCAGTGGGGAGACTGGCAGCCCTTCTAGAGAGATGGACAAAGAAAATTAATTTTATATTCAGTGAGGTTAATTCTGACACCATCACACTTAATTCTTCCAGATTACTATTTCTCTTTTAGGATTGTATTTTAATAATGGATCCTACAGCTTCCGTTTCTAGCCAGGGTGCTTCTTAGACTTCTTTTCCTCTCCACAGCCTCACATTTGGCAGCGCCCAGACTGATTAAGAGTCCTGATTTCTCAAAAGATTATTTTTAAAGCTATTTTAGTGAAGTAGTAAAGGTGTTGTCCCACTGGAGCTGCCAGGTGATGTCTTGGGGAACTGCTTTGTGCGTCTGGAACTCCAAGCAGGAAGACAGTGATGATTTTATTGTGTGAAGTGGCTGGGTGTCCTCCTTCTCCCCTCTTTTACTTTATGGCAGGCCTTTTATACCTGATGTGTTCTTCAGGCACACTAAAATGGGTGTGTGTTAGCATTAGTAGCATTAACTATATAAGATTAGACCCTCTGGACATTTATGTGCTGCATTTTGTATTTATTTAGGAGGTAGTGCTGGAAATGCACATCATTTGTATCTCTCAAGCATGCATACAGTATTATTGTGCAATTGATCTCTCAACGGTCGATTCCTTGGCTGTAGGGAGGTCAATTGACCCCATCCCTAGTCTCAGGTTTTGGTCCTGGAATCTCAGGAAATGGATGGCTGCCATCCTGCCAACCCTATGGACAACTCTGATTTTGCATTTTGCTTCTGGATCACCTGGCTGCATTTGTTGCATGATCTTACAAAAATAAATGTAGATGTAGAACATATCTACACATTGATTTACCTTGTCCTTGAAATGCTGAGTAAAGCATTTCATGTTGCTGTATTTTCTCCAGAAATGTCTGCCTACCTGCTAAAAGCTACATTTCAGTAAAATAATGATCTGTAGATTCCTGATGGTTTTTACAAGGAATCACACAAATGCATTTATTATTAACTGCCAATTTCATCATTGATTTTCACTTATTTCTTCTCTATTAAAAAGGGTTGCTGTTAGAGGAACTATTGCCAATACAAAGAGAATATATGAAAATAACCCTTTAACGGCAAAGTTGGTTAGAATAGTCAAGTAGATTTCAATATGTGGTTGCCTGGAGCACTGCAAGTCATATATTTAATCCATTCTGTTCTCCCATTAAGTGAACAGAACCATCTTCCTATAGCGAATATTGCCTTTCAGCATTCCCTCATATAGCTCTTGGAATGATTATCTCCCTCTGCTCAGAGTTTCATTAAAAGAAATCCCAATCAGATTTTATTGACATCTTTGTCTTGTGAGTTTGTTACTACCAGAATAGAAAACAGTGCAATCCTGCTGCAAACTGCAATGCCTATTTTTTTTTATCTACCCAGAGGGCAATAACAGCTGAGATGCTTGCACAAGTAGCACTACAAGTACTTTAGAGATGACAAAAAAGATCAGGAAGGGATGGAAGAGAAAGAAGGTTCTTAGATGTATCCCTTTGGTTCTTATGATTGTTTTTGGTTCTAGGACTTTGTGTCATGTTTCCTATCACTTAAGCAGCTCTGTGCTGGGCAGAGAAGGGTGCTGTCCAGGCTAGCTCAATCAGTATTTTCACTGGGTTCTGTCAAAGGGTCTCCAAATTGGTTCAAATGGTGCCACCAGCAAAACATGGCAGGTCTCAGGCTGAAATCTAAAGGGGCTTATTATGCTTCCCCATGTCTCCAAGTAAGGAAACAAATCTCAGGGTGAATAGCTCTGGAGGATAAGAAAGTTTGATTACCCCGACTAAGGCAAATTTAAAGTCTGAGCTGATTAGCACAAGTATTGCAATGGAACATCAAATGAGACATAGAAAGCCAAACAATAGTATTTCCTCGTTACACATGTAATCTATAGCTCTGAAG